GTGAGTGAGTGAGTGAGTGAGTGAGTGAGTGAGTGAGTGAGTGATTGGTTGGTTGGTTGGTTGGTTGGTTGGTTGGTTGGCTGGCTGGTTGGTTGATTGATTGATTGATTTATTGAACCAAGCGGATGGAAATCGCATCTTTGTGTGTCATTATCTGACGCTTTTTGACTGCCATTTTGGTAGCGGTTTTTTATTCACCCTGTTGTTTGCTGCAGAAGACGTACGTCGGAAACGGCCAATGATTCGTAGTGCGAACCCTAGCTTTGAATCTAAACTGCTACGGTCTTTGCTTGGGCAACCTGGAAGTAGCTGAGCCGCCGTCATTCCTTCAGGAGACAAGGCAGCTACGCAGCAAAAAAGTGTTACATCTGAACGAATATAATCAACGCCACTGTCAGCTGTGAGAACCCTTTTTTTGTCGTAAAGTGGTTATAGCTGCCACAGTTTCGTCCACCGCTGATCTGGGGAGGCAGGATAAAAACTGTGCATTGGAGGTGGGAGCTAACATAACTGATGTGTAAATAGTGGACTTTTAAGTGGGGATATTGGGAAGAGAGGTATGCATTGAAGACAACAGCTTGGATGCAAGAGCGCCATTGAGGGCGCGACTGGGTCATGTCTGTCAATATCTCTAACCATTGATGTGTCGCGTCTCGCCGTCTGCATCCAGAGAGGAAGTAATGATCAACGCGACTGAATTTACTGGTAATGGCTTTCATACTTTGCTGCCAGCTCATTGTTTGGCCTCCTACCCCGACCCTTTCCACCCTTCACGTGGTTGTGCAAAAAGAATCCTTCGAGGAAGTCGACCGACTGGCAACGGACTACTTGGCCAAGCCAGCGCAACCTGTGGAGTGCAATCAGTTCACCTATCGTGGGTGAGTTATTTCCTCCGAAAACCATTCAACGTCAGCATTGCTGATCAGGTGTTTCCACCAGACTCGAGCAATACTTCGAAAATTATACCATATAATGACCCGGCACTGGTGTCAAATGTAACATTTCAGTATTTGTTGATCGGATGAAGAAAACGTGTCTTTTGACTTTTTTGGGGGCTGAGTTAGAATCATTCAGGATCGGTTACGCTCAGTTGTGGACACTGAATCAAGACGCCACACAGTAATTCGATTTAATGCTGAGCTCTTTGTCAGAAACTTGCTAGTTCGTGAGAACGAGGTCTGAACTACGATGGGCCCAATAAGTCTTCCATCTCGGGATAATTCTGTCATTTTTCTGCAGGCATATCCTAACGGAAACGTTGCAGTTCTGGCCACCTATCTTGATACAAACCAGAAAGTTACATATGAATCGAAAACCACGTTCATAACATTAGTTATTGGTTGGTAGAAACCTCTCTGTAGGAGCTGAAAGATGGCGGTTGGCTGCTCATGGAAATACACAATAAATTATTACTCGCTACTTCTGACCACTTGCTAACTATTAGGTGAACCAGCTCCGATCGTAACGGGACTACATAACTGCCAATGGAGTAACCGTTTTTCGTTTAGACAGATTTGATTGGTTGTTCTTCACTCGCCCTTGACAGGTGAGTTGTATTCTTAGTATCACTTTTGACCGCTTGTACGCGACAGTGATCAATAGAGCAGCTGGCTCGCACGTTCACTGGTTTTTCTGGTTTGGCCCACCAGGCACACCAGGCAATCAGGCTGCTATCCACACCGGGGGTCACAGTAATAAGAAGACATTTGGGGACTGTGCTCCACAACACTAACCCACACAATACAGTCTGAATCGAAGCAACCATTAGTCAGTTCTATCGAGATGAACTTCTCAGACTGATATCCTTTGCATAGTTTTCATGGTTTCTGAATCAAAACCGCATTACCAGAGGTTTCAAGGACCAGCAGGGGTTGACAGACAACACTTTGCTGCCTCATGTATTGCGGGTTTCATTGGTGCATGAAATCGACTCAAGTAAACGTTGCCGTATACATCATGGCTTTGTGTTTCCCAAACACAGTGCACCAGGTTATCAAATTGTGGACAGAAAACAAAGAACAGTTTGCCAACACCTTCCAGAAACGACATATATCAGAGAGCTGTACTGTATGTCAGTCGAAAAGGATTTCCAGAGAGCATCAACTGTGCTTTAGAAAAACGTACATTTTGTCTGTAAGTAACAACACCCTGGTAGGAAGTATTCTTTCTTCTTGACAGCTAAATTGTGGGCATCATGGCAAAGACGCTTCACAATCTTATCGGCATACTGACTCATAGTTTACATGGGCACACCAATCACATCAATCAAGTGTGAACACGTTCGCCTGTTCAGACGTGAAAATTTTAGATGCGTCCAACATGCGTTGGTGGAGTAGTGGTTACACGCTCGCCTCGCATGTCAGATGTCCGGGGTTCAACTCCCGGCACGGTCATTGGATATGCACTGCTGATGGGCTCTTACAAGAGCGAAACTCGAGTCCAGTGCTTCCCTTTGGTGTGGACTCACCGGAATAAATACGCCAGAACAGGAGGACGGCCGTTCAAACGAGAGTGGTGTGGCTATGAACAAGAGTACCTATCCCGCAAAACCCCGAGATTCCTAAAGTGTCTGCTTCTAAATTACCATTGGCCGCTCAAGCGGAATGCACTGATCATTTCCCCACTTCGTCCTGTGGCATCCGCTGTTTCAGGTGGCTTTGTAATTCACATAATTATACGCTGGTGGGCAGATAAACTTTCGTTCAACAGTTCACACTTCCCTGTCTCTTTTGGTGGGATGTACGCCTCAAAATAAATACTCATATCTCCGTGCTGTGTAATTAATTTTTTTCACCCCGGCAACTGTGTGCTCCTTAGCAAGTTTACTACTATCAGCAGCCTTTACGCACATTTTTTAACCGTAATTTCTTAAAACCAAACGGCAACAGGAAAATCAGTAATATAGTGTAGCGTTATTTGAATCGGTATGCTGTTAGCCCATTTCGATATGACCACGGTTCGGAGAACTTACCGATAATGGATATCGGTTTTCTGGTCGTCCACACCCACTCCTTTGACCCAACCGCGCACATAAATATCACTGCTCATCTCGGAGGAGAATAGTGACGTATCGTTTAAGATCACCTTTATTGGAAAGCAAGAAATGAAGGCTCGAGTGAGCAGTGGTCAGACGGACAACACAGTGATATTAGGTAGTTTAAGCAATAAAAATAACCCAGTTGTTACCTATAGCTCAAACAAACGCTTGAAGTGCATTGTCCTAAAACCTCTAAATGCAAATAACGGATATTTTATTTATTTCCTGTTTGGTTTGCTTTAATTATGCTGGCAAAACATTAGCTGCACATATCGATCACTTGATGTGTTCATATTGGCTTGCTCAAAATACACTCTAATTCGACCGACTGCGATTAAATCTGACGAGAGAACTTTTCAACTGATACTGTTCAGATGGGTTTAGTTGATGGTCCTAAATTTGGGCAACGCGTCATCCCAGGACCGCTCACAGACCCGAGTGTAACAGCCCAACAAACCGGTACTAACCACGCCTAGGTTAGCAAGATGTTACGTCCTCACACACATCTGAGGGAACGCTAATGAAGTCTGCAAGACAAATATCGATCTGTGGTGAGAACCAGTCTGGTGTATTCCGATTCGGATGTCCAGGTGGGCTGTCAAGCTGCAATGGCTAGGATTACAGGTGTGTGTCAAATTCCTGACACAGTCAGTCTGTACAGCGCCATCTTGCCGCATCTACTTCCACTTAGATGCGTTTTTGGGATACAACCACCTCAATATGATGACAGATTCAACTGCAGTGATAATAAGTGTAGAGGATGTATGACCAGTGGTACTGAATACCTATAAACAGTCAGACTCACAGTGTGTTAACAAGCCGTCGAAGTTTGCTCGCAATATATCGAACAATTTAATTCAAGTGCAAACCTTGTTCTGATCCTCACAAGCTGACTACCCAAAATGCTAGCTTGCCCCCGTAGGGTTTGCCGTACACAATCCGCATAACACGCGAAAATCGATGCAGTCAATACCGGAGTCCCGACGTGAGTGATAATCAAACTGAGTGAAGTGAGAAACTGGGATTACCAAGCCAAGTATGAGTGCATGTGTTTACTCGGTACTCATGGCTTGGACGCAAAGCTGCGTGTGTAGATAATCACTAAATACAAAATGCCGTGCAATTTTTGTATCGGATACTCCGTGGCTAATACGACTGACCGGCCTTGATCTCTGTTTTGTCCCGTATGCTGACAACCGACGCCAAAGTTTTCCCCTGTGCATTCAAATTTAAGTGTCTGCTTGTTCAACCGATGTATATCATCCATTTGAATGACAGGAAAGTGTTGCACATGGATTATCAGCCCCTCAAACGTCTCTCAATCGCATTAAAGAGTGGAGATCACAAGGAACTACTTGATATCAAGGCGGACACATTGGCTCGTGTTTGGGCAAGTCCAACGAAATATCCTCAAAAGGTTGGACAGCTATGTCAAGCAATCTGTTCGTGGCTGGCTGCGTCTACCGACGGGTACCACGATCAGCTATGCCAGTAAACAATAATGGGGGGTTTGGTATCCCAGGCCTCAGTTCAGCCATCCTGATACAGTGGAGAGTGCCTATGGAAAACTTCTATCTACTCGTTGCCAAGTACTACGCAGTGTGGCCAATGATTCCGCACTTAAAAATATTATTCGGGATCCCAGCACCCTCATCCGAGTCTAAGGTGCATGTGTTAACACCAAGGACACTGTTTGAGGCGATAGTCTCTACAACAGGACTGACGGTCATGGTTTACGAGAGTTTGGCGCTTCGCCTTTCTCGAATCGATGGCTTATGTTTCCTCGTCTATTTGTACGCGGTATCCAGCTCCAGTGCAACCTGCTTTGGATGAGATTAAGAAGCACCTCTTTGTAGTCCTCGTGTCAAGAAGATCTGTCATGGGAACTGTGGCCAATCGGGAAGTTTTGTGCACATTCTGCGGTCCAGCTGGACCACGCGTGACGGTAGCTGTGCTCATCATCATCGGGTTGCAAGGGAACTCGCGAAACGCCCCAGTCGCCTGGGCTAAACCGTCTTCTGGGAGTTGCGAGCATCTAGGTCAAAAGCTTTCACCAAGCCTGGGCAACTTTGATAGGCGTAAGTATAGTCTCGGATGGGCGCGTAGTGACTGTGTGAAATGAAAAGGAGCAGAAGTATGGTGCTGATGATTTTCCCTTCGCTATCATCTCCACCTTACGTGCAATCGATTGTAATGTCAACTTTTTGGTCCCCCAACTGATGACCATTTCATATCGAAGGGTCTGCTTTCTTCAATTCGCCAAGGCTGTTGTTGGACTGGGGCTTTCTAAGGTCACAGGCAATGGCTTGTGTTTACTTACCATTTTAGGCTCTCCACGTACTTACGACACTTGAATGCGTGGTACACGGCGCTGAATGTTGACTCCTGCCAATAACTTTTAAACCTGATCCAATATGAATGGCACTTTGTGCTTGATGTGTGAGTCTTTACTGTGCCTTGAAAAGCATTCAGCATTGTTTGTCCTTTTTTTCGGTTGCAGGTCTTTACACGCGTGTTCCCATACCAAATATTCTTACACACGTTGGGTTCCATCTTGTCTGACTGGAACTGTTGGTGACAAGACTTCGAATGGGACGCTTTCTTCATTTTATCTATTTTTCTTCACACCCTTCCACATCTATCGCCCGGATTTAATTTACATGTTCAGAAATAAACGATAATAGTATAAGTAGCAGTTGGCGTCCAGAACTACTTCCTCATGGTGTCGACTAGGTTGCCCGGACGTCCTTCTGGGTGAAATATGATTTCAGCAAGATCAGATAGGGCTAGCTACTCTGTTTGGTTTCACTTCGCTGGCTACTTTCCACTATCTACATTACGAATCATTTGGCGCCTCCACACTAGTTCCAACCAGTACACAGGAAAAACTCATGGGGCTCACGTGCAAAGAATGTGGCAAGTACTGTGAATCGAAAGCTAGCTTGGTGGCCCACCAAGTCGAGTTCACGTCCATGAAAATGTTGGCACGAGCGTGGTTGCCCAATGGGCCTTTATTTTCCAACGAAGAGTGGCCTGGGGCAACGTCGCTTGCACGCACACTCTACGCAGCATAATGTGGATAAGCTTCGCCATGTGAAGAATTTCAGTATCCGCTGGTTCCAACAAGTGTTACAATCACTTTCTTGCCTAGCTAGCAATCTATATCCATCACGTGACCGAGCTGTTGGGTGAACTGAAGCAATATTCCCATGGGTGATCGGCTATCAGCTTCAAAACCAGGTTACAGGTGCTCAACTGGCAAGCACAACAGGAAGAATCATCATCTGGTGGCCCCGACCAAATTATCGGTCAAACAGGGTCCTATTCATCAGAATCTGAAGACTATAGCGTCTGGTTTTCGCCGTGTCACACGTGGAATCCCATTGTGACCATTCACTCGCTAGGGTTAACCTGGCATTTGCCCGAGGGTTGCAGTCTGGCATCATAACATCATCATAGCATCATTTCTGAACCTCCACGCCTCCAAGATATTTCTATGCACGTGGAATCCTGTCTCTCGACACTGTCTTCAGTTAGCCCGTTGCTTGTCGGCCAACAGTAAGCAGATGTGCCGAGCAAACTACACCGTCATTCAGACCCATTGCCACCGAAACGAAAAGATGCAGAGTCTGTTGTTCTGGATGGGTCGTGGAAAGATCTATACAAAGATAACTGCGGCCTACCATTGGACGCTGAGCAGTATTGGAAACAGGTACTGTCTGCTCCAAAACACGTGGATAACCGGTCAAGTTGCGCAGTGCTGCAATCCAATTGGCGTTTGATCAAGCCAATTACAAATGAGGAAGTCGCCCGTACAATCCGTTTAGTGGCAATTCGTCCTCAGTCATAGACAAGTTCATCGGTTCAGTTCCAATGCCCTCGCTGGTTATTTCAACTTATTCTCATTATCTAAGGTTCGTCGGCCGCATCCGTGTCGTGCTCGTATTATCCTAGTTCCGAAGGTCTCAAACCCGACTTCACCGGACAGACTGCTGAAGCCGTAGATGCGGTTGCTCTTACTCCAGTTAACATTTCTACATCAAGACGGTTGCTTGGAAGCTACATCGCCCTTACACACCCTGCTTCGTCACTCTTCAGCGACTGCTTCTAACCTCAGTTCGGCGTTTGTTGATATACGAAAGCGTTTGATCCGGTTGCGCATGACACAATGGTCAAATCTGCTATTGAGTTTGGAGCATCGTCACCCCTAGTCCTATAAGAATGCACCCTTCCCTAATTCCAAGGTCCGCTATTATAAGGATGTGAGGCAGTCTCTCCTCACTATTGTTTTATCATGGCAATAGTTGACGTTCTTGGATTGTCGATGCTGCAACCCGGATACCAGTTCCATGACACTTTAGTGGATGGTTTTGCTTTTGCTGACGACCGGGCTGTGTGTGCAGTGAGAGAAGTGTGAAACTGCCATGGTTGAGTTGGGAAGAGCTGGTATAAAGATAAACGCTCAAAAGACAAAAGCAATGGTGATTTATGGGGACAGGAGACATATAGGGACCGCGGCCCTAGCCGAACCTTTTTGCTGCATATATATAGCCATTCTTTATTCCATTATGGTTAAACGAACTCGCTCGGTGGGTTTACAATTGCTGTTTTCGTTGTATAACAAGAGGCGTAACCAAGAGGCTAGTTTTCAAAAGAAAGTGAGCCGAGTCCACTTACATCAGCTGTGTTCCAAATAATCACGCGCAGTTCGTATTGGATTGGTTGTCTTGGAGAGATGTCGATTGCTGGCGGGGGTACTCCAAGTGATCGATCGAATATATCCACCCACAACTGCAACCGACCTTGGGACATTCCTGGCCTGTCCGGATGTACCAGAGCTCTTGTCTCAACATGTTCCGGAACCAACTCGATCCCCAAAGGCAGTGTACTGAATCGCTTTAAAACTTCCAGGGCAAGCGGTTCAACCGATTTCACCGTTCCACCTGCGAGGCGTAAAGAAATTGTAAAAACAACTGTGAAAGCACTAAAGTATATTCATGCCGATTGTGGATAAAACTTTCACAGTGAGTTAAAACCAACAAGTCGTGCGTGTAGATGGATGATGAACACGATAAATTGTCGGCTACGAGAAAGGCCAGCCTCTAAAACTTACCGGATTCGTTTGTGATCTCGGTTATTGCATGTAGATCTTGACCACCAACTGTGACCTTGTTCTCCAGCAGGTTGTAGACGGGTTGTTCGATGCCTCTTTTCTGACATTGTCGTTCCAGAATCTCCGTGGGTAGTAGACTGTCCTTCCATTTCACGTAGCCATGCCTGAAAATAGACAGAATGTATGTAAGAATTTAGTCTCCAGATTAACACTGGAATAACCGGTTAAGAATAATCTTTCTGTTATTCGTAATGCACTACTCATGAGGTTGCTGAAAATTCATCGACATCCCACGACCGGTTTGGCCTTTCTTGCTGCTTAACAGCACAGCCCCCGGATTTCCGTCAACCTTATGTTCTACTTGGAATCAAACTGCACGAACTTAGCGAAATACACTCATTTACAAACAAATTTAGTTTTGCGGGAGACTCAACTGGAACCCAGCTGAATCTCTCGTTTATGATGTTTCCAGGAAACTGAATGTGTTTCACCAGGCCGCCTCATGTTTCAGTCGCTAAGATATTCGAGATATCGCGATACACGTATATTCGTAATGCACTACACATGAACTTGATGGCAAGTAGAACATAAGGCGGCCTGGTGGAGTACATTCACTTGCCTGGAAACATCACAAACGGGAGATTCATTTGGATTCCAGGTGGGTCTCTCGCAAAACCAAATTAGTTTGCAACTGAGTGTATTTCGCCAATCTTTCTGTTAGTTTTTGATATACACCCATTTGCATACCAGCTTGGTTTTAACGGAATACTCAACTGAATGCCAGCTGGAACTTTCGTTAAAGGGCTCAAAGAGGCACGAAACCGTTGTTCAAAGTCAGCAATCTCGTCGTCAAAGGGTTTTCAGCAATCTTATGAGTAGTTCTCTTGCTACTAGTTGTTTATAAAAAGTACGCTATGATCATTAAAAACAGACAAAACAAGTGCTTGGTGTGAAAATGCAACTTAGGAAACATAAAATCACTTTCTGAAAAAAGGTTGAGTGGTAAATATCCCAAGACTATCGATCTCATGACCAGCAACAATCCAAGTACCTGTTCGAAGACGTGAACGATATCCGGGTTTATTAGCAATTCGCGAGTAAATTTACGATTTTACAGTGAAAACTACAAGTCAAGACCAACGTAAAACTCACGTGTTGTAAACGTTCATCAAGCCACAAGTCGCTCGGTGCGGACTGTGATATCGATTTTCAATATCTATCCTGGTTTCTCCGATCAAATCGTTTGATCCCACCCGGTCGTAGTCCATAACCTAGACACGGGGAGTTGTGAAAAATCAGTTCGTACTTTGTATATTTTGTTCGTAAGTTTAATAAAAGTACTTTTAACTTTGTATGACCTTTCGCCAAAACTTTATATGTTGCCATACAACTCCAGACTTTTTAGAAAGCTTGCCTCGTTTAGTCGAATGGCTTATGAACACAGCTTGCGTGGGAGCAACCAACCAGCATGATATATTTGGGCAGTCCCTCTCCGCTGTCCACACAGAAACTGAAGTTTAGTGAAGCCACAAATTCGAAAGCCTACATTTGTCCATGACGCGTTACAACCCAGTCATTTTGTGGTCTTTTTTTGTCATTTTTGTGGTCAACACGTTCTAATAGATTGAGAAACCTGCAGCGCTCAGTGCAACTACTTCGTGCACTACTATTGTGACAAGGAACGGACAATCAAGATCTCTTCCTGAAATCAACTGATCAACTATTAGTGGAAATGAACACAAAAATATGGCCCCAAGGACTTGATGAGAACAGTCAACCGAATTTGAGTTTTCAGCTCTGTGTAATCAGCCAAATGTCAGGCTACTTTATTCTCGACGAATAGCTGAGCAAGATTTTAAATTTAGAGCACCCACATCGTTGCTTTCGCTACAAGGAGCGATGAGGCTGCATGAAACGGAAAGGAACTGCGTGAATTTCCCCCTAGTAGAATTATTTTTGCAAAACATCACCACATGCGACGTGTATAATGATGCAGAATACCAAAGTTCGTAAGAGCTGTCTCAAAGTGACGTTTTATTAAAACAAGGTGGGATTTTTAACGGAACGGTTTTGACCCTTGATCGTTCTGGACAGTGAACAACCCGATCCACGTGATCATTCAGTCGCCTCAACATCGTCCTGCTGGGGTCATCGATCAGCTCAAGGACTGCAAGGTTGGGGGCTCCCGTTGTATCCAACTTATCATTTGAGACTAAAGTTCGCTGTCTTTTTTGTTCACGAGTAAAGTCAGTCATACTTAACTGGTTTCTTTTAAGGGAAAAACAGATTTCTTATCTTTTGGGAAATGCGTTGGCATTTAATCCGAAGGCATTGGTTGGAACCGGCAAAAATCGTGGTATCTGACTGCCCAGGAGCATTTGTTCGGGGGGAGGGCTTCATTATTTGAGGATAAGTTTATGGATCTGGTTATCCCAGTGTCTGCTGTCTCAGAAAAGTTCGGTCAAAGGAGACACTTCTTGGTTTTTTAAAAACATGATCATGAATAAGATAACAGATAGTTCATTGTCGTTGTCTGATCTACGGTTGGATTTGTCTAACAGGTCACTAATCAAATCATTTGTATTCAAACTCAAACTCGTTCAAAGAGTGTTTCAGGTGTCAGAGATTGATCTAAGCCTCCTGACAAAGAATCGAACGATAGTTAAACATTCCAAAGTACGATTATGAAACTTTTTTCAGGAGACAAACCAGTTCTCATTGCCAAGGGCCAGACTATTCAACTGCTATGGACAACGCACCTGAATGGTAAGCATAGAGTCCACCGGCAACATGGCTGTGAATTCATAGTACTTTCCAAAGTATGGATTGAGTGTTTTTGGCTTGTAGTCATCTTTCTCGTCGATGACCACTTTCCCCAAAGACAAGATAAGGTAGGGATCCGCTAATCCATTTCGATCGGCCGGATGAAGTCCTATTGCCTGTGAGTAGAAAACAAATGCGTTAGTATGAATAATGATTGTAATCACCTTTCAATTGTCATACCCTTTCGATGCCTAACTGAAATGCAACTCGAAGGTGGTTCCAGAGCTGAGATATTGCTCGTGCCTAGACAGAAGAGGCCAACTTACCACAGATTTTCCTATCATTAATTTCACGCTTTAACCACTGAGCTGTCTTGAGCTCTGATCTTGATCAGCTGCTGTCTTGTTCAGTTAATCTGTCCATTGGTAAATCACTGCCACTGAAGGAACAGTTTCAGTCTTCTATATCCTACTTGACCATGTTTCTCTGCAATGCGTCGGAAGCAGGCTTGGAAACAACCCTTTCATTAAAGTGGCCGCTCGCTCAACTGAGACTTTTCTTTTTTCACTAACCTATTGCTTGCCTTCAAGACGTGTTTGAACTTTATCACGTTCACCATCTCAGCAACGAAGTAAACCCAAGCAAAGTGCCTCATCGCGGACGCGACTTGGTGGGGAACATGTCCACAGTCGCTCAGATCGGAGGTGCCCTATACCATGTGCACTCAAAACACAACTAAATGAAAGGCAAGTCAATCTGCTCACAGAGTAGTTAGCTGTTTGCTGTGGTCACTGACTCAGAAGCTTTCACTATGCAAAGAACCATTCAGATACAGCGCGGAGGCGGTTCGCAACGTGGTGCTTTGCATTAGACGCACAGGCTGCGACGCCCACCACCTCCGACGATAAGGCTGACGGAAACCTTGTAACGACTCAGTCACCCACATACTTGACTGTTCAGCTCACAGTCGCTCATTGGATCACGTGACTTTTTTTTCATACTTGTCACGTCACACACGTCACATCAAGGTGACTCATCGGACATCGATTGTCTGTACCGTCTAGCGACGTAGCGACAGCTCATGTGCTGACACACCCACGTACACGCAAACGGACCTACCTATAGGGAAACCGAACACAGTCAGCAGTCTCGCGCGCGCGCAGGAGTCAGCCAAACACCCCATGTCCACGGACAACCATGGAGTACGTTGCAGTCGCGCTGCGAAGAAAAACACGTTCCCGCCGTCCGGACTTTTACCAAGGGACTCTCATATACGATAAGTTCCCTGTTGACTTGCTCCACATTTTATATTGTCCCCTATTTTATACATGCTGCAGATCGTTTCTGTAAACTGCTGTCAATCACAGTTAAAAACTTTTATTGGTGCATAGACCTTCTGATTTGTATTATGGTCATCATCAACAGTGCACTAATAACCTCCAAGCCCCTTAGCTTGAATAAAAATGAATAGAGAGCGGGGAGTTGAAAACATGTTGAGGACGGTTCTAGATCACCTGAGCTGACGAGCGGCGATGTGGGAGTCCATTGGCCTCGCAGCTGCAAAACTCTTGCGGGTGGAATAAATCTTTTGGGCCAAAATGTTGCATTTTGTCGCGTGTGTATGTGTGCTCAAAATGAAATTCATCCTGACCCATGTTCATATTTTCGCAGCTCATCAAATTCCGGTAAAGCAATAACACCTCTCGCAGAAAAATTCTGGTGGAATACTTTTACAGTATCACCGGGATCCCGAGATGGGGTTAAAAAGATTGGGCTGGTACTCAGAACTCAGTTGCCTGTCTGTGTTAGTCCATCAGTGTCAGGTCGTTGCTTTCAAAAACTCTATTCCATTGTGCGAATACTGAGCGCCCAACGATGTGCAGTGGTGGTTGCGGGATTTTGTAGAATGCACACTCACATGACTCTCGTTTGTACAATGGTCCTTCTCTCCTCGCGCCATCATTCTGGAGAGTCCATACCAAAGGGGGGAGCCCTGGACTCGAGTCTCACCCTTTTTAGAGCTCATCAGCAGTGTAACCCTTGGATGTACCAGGTTTTGAAATCCGCACATATGACACGCGAGGAGAGCGTGTTACCACTATTCCACCAACGTACACTGAACTCACCTGAATTTTTAAGTTTGAACAGAAGAACATGTTCACACTTGAATGGTGTGAGCAGAAAGCCCGACGATACGAAATAGAATGCCCATCTACCCGCTAACCCACTTGCTGAGGCGCTGACTCACCCTAACAAACCGCCAAAACTGTGAACGACGTTAAAAAGGAATCGGGGAATTAAGCGATATGGACCAGAGGGGCCGAACCCCAAAACCCAGTCTAAAATATTTATCTATACTATCTGACAAGAAAACCCCATAGCCTAAGCTTGATGTCCATAAAACACATGGCACACTGACCATTCGTACGCTTTAAAACTGCCCCATCCCTGTAACCTGATCTATCAATGAATCTACCAATCGTTTGTCAGGCTTGTCTAAAACGATGCCTTTCTGTTGGTTCCAACTATTCTCCAGTCTGGTGAAGTCTTGGTACCATTCTTCGGAGGATCTGTATCCACCCGGTCACCCACTCACTTGGCTCGCTAACTGGATCACGAGGCATGTCTTTTTTCATGTCATGTGACATTAAGCTGACTCATCGGACATCGATTGTCTGCACCGCCTAGTCAGCGTAGCAACTACTCATGTGCTGACGCGTCCACACGAACGGATCTACATGTAGGGAAACCGGACACAGTCAACACACAGACTCGCGCGCGCACAGGGAGCAGAAACTCGACCGCTCTCCACAAGTCCACGGACAAGTACGGAACACGTGTGGTAGTCGCACTGCGGAGAAAAACACGTTCCCGCCGTCCGGACTTTCACCAAGGAACTCTCACAGACAATAAGTTCCTCTTTTGACTTGCTCCCATTTTCGCATTGTATTTATTTTCATACCTGTTGCAACCCACCACTGTCAACCATACTAAAAACGTTTGTTAGTGCATACACTTTCTGATTTGTATTATGGCTATCAACAGCAGTGCACTAATAGATCAACAGTCATGCTCTGCGCGGTTGGATGGCACAGCGAGAACTGACGTTATCCGCAAATTGTGGTCAATGCTAGTGTTTTCATGACTGCGTACTTCGCTCCTCCATCAGAGTAACAACACGTGCTATCTGATAGCACTGCCTCATTTCTTTCGCTATCCCTCATAGACAAGTTTTATCAACCTGTGGACCGCACATAACCCGCCGTTAACTCCACCACTTTTCCTGTGCCTCCCGGGACATTGCCCACAAGGAATCGCACTAAACGGGGCACAGGTATGACCAATCCAACTCATGTTCTTTGTCCTTTGAAACAATGATAACTTGATACAGGTGAAATGCAGGTGTCATTTTGAACAGTATAATACCAAAGTGCCAATCATCACTTACTCGAACAACGTAAACGCGAACCGTGAGTTTGACACGGGCTTTCAGTGGTAACGTTTTGAACAATTTGAGCTCCGTTTGCTGCGTTGGCATTTCCGCATCATCGTTGACCGCATAGATCAACAGGTTGCCCTGAAATTGACCAAATCGATATCAATTAGTTTACATTCGGTCAGGTTCGAGGAATACGTGCACCCTCGGAACTGACAACAATTGTGTTAATTCGAGGTGACACTCTGTCATACAGCTTTTCAATAGAATTAATTTTGCAATGAACCACATGTCTCTTCTCCAAAGCACTGTCTAATGGGATTTATTCCTTTTTGGAATGCTGTATTGTGTGTTGGGAAAGTTATCGTGACCGGGAAGAAATAAGATTTGCTTCACATTCAACCACTCTTGTTTGAACGGTCATCCTCCTGTTCTGGCGTAACTATTTTGGTGAGTCCACAACAGAAACCAAAAAGTTGCTCAGTGGGTTACAAGCGTGTGTGACGCTAACTGACTGGGAAGTTCTGACTGGCGGGTCAATAGATCGTCACAACTGTAACGCAATTGAAACCTGACTGTTCCCGCTTACATATGTTTAATATATGACCTTACGTGTGCACCTCTCCCTCTCTCTCTCTTTCTCGCTTACAGGCACCCCGGACAAGTCACCACGAGCGCCGGGCAGGACAGTAGTCTGCTTGGACACCCCCGAGTGACCTTGACCTGTTTTTCTGTTCATCACGTGACCTGTACCCGTTGTTCCGGTTCCGGTTTCAGTGTCGTGGCCGTTCTGCTTTCCTGTGCGTGCTTCGTGCTTACTGTAACTACACGTGCCGCTGTGTTTGAATTAATCCGGTGTATCCGTCGCCTTACAACGTATTGCGTCGACTCACCCACGCTACATCAATCACAAAGTGATCAGTCACCCTCCACAGCCTAGTGTTCGGGTCCTGTACAAATGGGAGTACATTAGAAGGATGCAAGAGGTTCAAAATATCATATAAGCGTAGAACAGCTACTCAATGCCTGTTGGTATTTCAGCATAGATTGAAAGATTCACAGGTCAAAATTCATATTCATGACCTCATTTATCAATTGATTCCCAACCTAGTTAAAAGTTTAGATCCACACCAAGGTGAATCTGGTTCTCCCCAGAATTTTTTACCGATAGTGACGTCAGCCCATGTTGAATATTAAGGGGATTGCTGGGAATTTGTTTCATTGGATTGCTTTACCTATGAGAGCAACAAACCTGGTCTTCGTTTTTTCAAGTCCTAGTATCTGACAAAACAAAGTGACCTGTGCCAGCTAACCAGCAATCCTATTCGTTTGCTGATATACCGCTATGATTTCTCCAAGCAGGTACTACCTGGTTGGTTGACACGTGTGTTGAAATGTGCACTGTTGCTAAGGCATAAATCCGCAATCGAAACAATTCTGTCTCATTCTGCAGGGACCTTTTACAGCCAGGCCAAACCCCGGCGATATTCACTTGATTATACCATGTGAACGGAGTTCACCTGGAGAAGTGCTACCCGATAAGCACGAAAACGCCACAACTTAGAAAGCTGTATTAACGAGCCTTAAAATAGTATGGAGGCATAGCAGTCAGTTAGTTAGTGATTGCTTCATCAATGACTAGAGTTAAACATTACTTTGAGGAAACCGGCCAGTCGACTCTCGGGTGAAGCCTCCTCTTCCGTTTGTTTGCCTTTGTAGAGTGGGAAGTTGCGGAATGGTTCCACAAATCCTTTGAAATCTTCGATTTCCTCAAGTCCAGTTGGATATATCTGGAGTTAAAATATGGATTGATACAGAATAATTCTTTCTTTTGTTAACAAATCAGACTACTGTCGAGAGGATGGCCAGACAACAATGAGAAACTTGGATGGGAAAGTACTTTGCCAAGTAGCAATCTATGATTAAATTCTGGAGACACCAGGTCCTCTAAACACCTGTTCATACTACCCACAAGTAAAGCTAAGATATCTGCGTCATTGAGTTGGTATCGCACCTGCCTTTTATCAAACATAGGTAAGTATATGTAACCCAAACCTAGGAGACAAGATTCAAGAACGCTCAGCTACACGTGTACTTTCATTCCTAAGGATGTTTCTCTAGGGTAGTCGGACAGGTAACGTCTTTGAATGCAACCCGAAATCTACTGAGAACCTCAGCTCCGCTAGATGTTAACCGGACAGACAATGACCCCTCCCCAATGTGTAGCCTTGTATCGAGCCGAGGCAGCGCGAGTTAGCGCTGATCAAGGTCAGATAATGCCCCGCAATATGCAGCACATCACAGCCTCGTACCAAAGCCAGACGGCTCGCGTCATCATTGGACCAAGTTCAGGCAGTGTTCCTCCAATAACTTGAGAAAGTCGTATTTTCGCACTCACACGCACTCACGCTGTCGCACTCGCTTGTTCGGAATACAGCTGTTCTGTTCCCCTCTGTGGGTCTTTTTTCCGGCACTAGACACTTGAGCGGGTCAGGAGCCAGATACAACAGGCTGGCGAATCAGCAGATATAACATAAACTGTCCGTCCTTTCGACTACACGATGAATCCCAGAAGGGGAAACAGCATTGCCATAGACGACTTTTCTGGGATCCGACCAAATCTCTCTTTAAAACAGTCCTCAAAACCACAAGCCCAGCACTTGATAATTATTAGCTTCTTGGTAAGAATCGATCATTAGTAAGACCGAATGTTGTGACTGGTGATGGTCAAGCTCCAGATTGGCAATTTTGTTGTAGCCGTCATCATCAACCGAGGTGTCGTCATCTAAGCCTTGTGAAGCTGGGCGGAACAATACTTTGAGTTAGTTTGTGTCGGCGAGGTTACATACACACTCCTGACCCGAGTAAACAATCCAATCAATACGCCTGCCGATGATGTCACCTCGATTGGTGAAGAAACGCTTGCAAGTCATTTGCCAAGCTTAATAAACAGATCAACAACCACCTAATCAATCATCAACAGTTCTACTGTGAACCCCCTTACAAAGTTACTGGGGTCATTTTGGAAGACCCATCTCAGAAAACCCAAGTGATGAGTAGATACAATCAGAACACTTTCCTGGCCGTGAACCTTTATTCGATTAACTGGATAGTGATTTAGTATTAAAGCCAATCCAAACTATCGATTCTCCCATTTTTTCAATACCATATGACGTTGAGCTTCATACTAGGCATTACTTAAAAACAGCATAAACGAGCGATTCAGCTGAGTTCCAAGTGAGTCTATCGAAAAACCAAATTTGTTTGCAAAGGAGTGCATTCCACTAAGTCCGTGCAATTTGGGTTCCAGTAGAAGGTAGGGTTGACGGAAACTCAGGAACTGCGTCTAACTGATGAGCCCCAAGAACGGCGAAACCAGCCGTGGGCCATCGAGCAATTTTCAGCAACCTTATGAATAGTGTATTACGTCTAAGCACCATTTTCTTTTTTACCGCTGAACAAAAAACCTTTCCGGTGTGTTCGATCTCCACTGAAACCCAATTCATCTCTATTGTTATCTGTACAATGGTGGCTCAACAACACTGTACGGCAGCGAAGTATCAGTATTAGACACCGATGCTGCTAATGATGATGACGATGACGATGATGATGATGATGATGATGATGATGATGATGATG